TACCGATTCTTCAGTATGTAGACAATGCATTTGTTAGTTCAGTTATTATCACCACTTACCATGTATATATATATATATCAGTCTATTTGTCTCTTGTAACTGGACATATATAGTCCTAGCTATCTCCTTGTGATTCACCGACCAACATGTGAAAGATAATGAAGTCAATTTAACTCTGTATTATAGTCCATGTAATATATAAATAATTGTTTAAACAGATAAGTAGGTCTAAATGGACATATATAAAAGGTCTATAATACTATTTTCTATCTATTAGTGTATTTTCGTGATAAGGATATTATTATTATCCATAGGAATATTATATCACAGTCAAAAAAGTACTATAGCGTACATATTGTAAATATGTACTCCTTCAAAAGTACAATTTCTGGGTTGAAGATGATTTTTGTCTTGAACAAATATCATCAGAAAACCTTATTATAGATAATAAATATTACATGACTTTCATTATAATTTGGAATTTCTGAACACTATACACTTATTATCTCTTCAGAGGTTGAACCTAATGAAATAATGTTATACTCAAATCATTTATAGTTTTATGCGCGATTACAAGTTGATTTTATTTACAAATTTCTATTCTGAACATATCCAATGTAGTGTAATCTAGCATACTCAATAAAAAACAAAATAATAAAAGTTACTGTTTAAAATGAAATCTTGGACGAAAATTACATCCTGTTATACAACACAATCATAATAATAACTATTTTATTGTATTTACAATAATCAAATTGTACATAATCTACAAGTCACTTTAGTAATACTAAAATAAATTCATATCACACTAAAATGTTTATCTTTTATAATGACTGAACTAGGATATTCTACACTTAAGTCTTATTTTCTCATACACATATACGATTATATGAAGTGCCTACCCCTACTACGACTCAGTCACTACACATTCAATTGTAACTCTAAACAAAAAAAACTTCTCCATTAAGGAGGACACATATATTATTACCGTTAATTATTTCAGATATCCTATTTGATAAGTATGTTCATATATTTTCAGTGTTTTTTTTTCAAAAACAAACAATTTATAGGTTATTTTACGATCTACAAAAAAAAACTTAACATAGACACAAATGAAACTGAAAGGTTTATTGAATCTACAAAGGACTTAGTCTTTGAAATAGTTCAAAAAAAAACAAATACCAAAACAACACCATTTATTAACAAAAAAATAATTTGAGATATATATTAGTGTTAAAATAACAAGACTCAATTCAAATAAGATGAGAAGTACATATACACATATTAGTTTATCTATTTTCTATGTTACTACTTACAAGCATTTTGTTTGTTTGTTTGTTTTATTTTAGATAAATTATTAGATAAATATCATTTTGAAATTCACATTGATGAATTTCAATTTAATAACTTTAAAAAGGCTAAAATCAGTTATTATAACAATAATAATAGAAGAAAAACAAAATAAAAACTGATTAGTCACTAACTTAAAACACACATGAAAAATTTGAATTAAATAATCAACCATAATGTAACTAATTATGTTTTCTAAACGATAAAAGTAAAGTAAGTAGTAAGTAAGTAAACGATAAAAGATGAATTTGAGTTCATTATGTATGATAATAATTCATTAAGGGATAGAAAGTGATATAATAGAGAAGTATAATATATTTCGTTTAATGTTTATAAGATTGATATATCTCATGTAATATAAGATGGTTAGGTGAAGATTAAACATTAAAATGATAAATTAATTATTATGAACGGATAATAGGTAACAAATGAACAGCTAATAGAACATATTTTGATGTTTTAGTTAACTAATCAGTGAATCAATTCAAGATGACTTAACATACAATAAAAAAATCATGACTGGTGATGTTCCACTACGATAGGTTTGAGGTATCGAATAATTATCCACCTGTGCTATGTTATAACTGAGATTAAAAATATATAAACTATTAAGTTTTTGATTGAGATCATGAACCGATTGATATTAGACCACCACAATTAAAAACCTGGAAGCACTGGACGGCCGTTTCGTGGGACTCCTCAGCAGTGCGCATCCACGATCCTGCTCGCGGGACTCGAACCCAGGGCCTTCGGTCTCGCGTGAGAACGCTCAACCAACTGGACCACTGAGCCGGCATCCAATGGTGATAGTTTCTAACTATTAAGTTTTAAGTCAGTAGTCTAGTGATTTGATGTTCATCATAAAACCTACAGTTTATGAATCTAATCCAATGTAAAATCACAAGTTCCTACCATTGAGGAGTATAAAACTATAACAAAGAAGTTATTCAGTTCCATTTGTTTATCAATGATTACCCAGTTGATGATATGACTGTCACCATTATATTCATAAATGTTTTCATTTACCCAAAATATAGCTACAGTACAAAGGGTTGTATACTTTGTACTTTAGGTCTCCATAACGTCATCTGTGTAAATAGTTTACTGACTTGAAAATTTGTTTATTTTCTCAAAAGAAAACAGTCATCGCCATTTTCATACCAATCATACATAAACTTCTTTTACATTTTTATGCAATCTTTCATATTATAAGAGATACAGATATTATTAATAATCAATTCTTATATTCCACTATATGTAGATGTTTATACATGTCTTTTAAATTTAACCTTTAACCTTCTTTAATGTCTATCAAAAAGAAATATAATAAAGTAAACCAACCCAGCAATTGAATCGTTGCATATACAAGTTAATATTGGACTATGAACTATGACTTATGCATAGGTCTAGTGTAAACTATCTATATGTAAATTGACTCATTCGTTTCGTTTTTTTTTCTTTAATTTTCACATAAAAGTTTATAAATTTTAATTCACTCAGTTGTTTATCGTTGTTGCTTTGTTTACCTATTTTGTTTGTCATTATTATCATCATCATTATTTTATTCATTAAATAAAAAAACAACAAAATAATATCCGGTATGAAGAATAATGTTTTTCACAAACACAAAGAAATGATTAATTCTTTACTGAATTATATTGACTTCTCTCTCTCTCTCTCTCTTTATCTTGTTTAGGTTTTATTCTCTTCTCTTCTCTATTCGTTTACACAGCATATACATATATATTATATGCTTGTTAGATGTTGTTTTGTAGTAATTTATAAAAGGAGTAAAAATTCAATGAATAAACTGTATCACGCCATTGAAATATAAACATTTGTTATTCTTGTTTTATGGTTTATTATCATCTTCTTTAGTAAAACAAAACATTTTCTTTTCTCTCATCATTACTAATTTATTCACAATCAAGTTACCTGTAAATAAATGTATATTAGTAAATAGTTATATTGTCTTTTGATAAATGATTATTATCTTGATGATAATTTATTGTGATGCTCATGAGTAATCGTTTTATTGGTTAAGAGTAAATGTTAGAATATTCTCACACTGATCAACCATTTAATAATAAATCAATCTCATTTTACTTGATTGTTTATTGTCGTTGAACTCTATTGATGAAGGTTACAATAAGAAATCATATATTGATCATTATCAGATTACCATTAAAGTTGTCCAATACCTCTAGGTTTTCAGTGATGGTTTAAATTAGATCGGTGAATGATTTCAATGAATAGAAAAGTACTTTGAACTCGGATTCTTCGATAGTATTGAAGAGTACAGTGTATCTACGATTTTAAAGATACAGATTATTATTTATTAAATGTATTTATGTAAGGGTTTATTCACGCCATAAACTATGCAGTCAAATCATTAACGAGTGTAAACGAAAATTCACTCATCAAAACCAATACACAGAAGAAACATCTTTCGACATTTGTGTGTACACCATATTGAAAGAGATTACTGTTATTTTATGCCCATTTTATTGTTATTAACATTGTGTGCATAATCATTCCATGATAAATGGTTGATTTGGCTACTTATACAATATTTTTGATCCTTTTCTTTAAACCTAATCAGTCAATGAAAGTATTATAACAACTAATATGATATCTTATCTTTTTCAATCACTACAAATATTTCTACCAAGAATTTAAACAATGTGCAAAGACCTCGTTTGAAAATATAAAAGAAATATGTGACATTTTAAATATATTGAACAAATAAAATTTCTTTTTTAAAGTTGATGTAACTGCTATTGATAAATGATACTTTACCAAGCGAACTATCAGGCTAGATGAAAGTAATATTATCGAATTGATTTGCATTAAGAACAGGTAATAATTGGGCATTCATTGAAAATTGGTAAACAATGGTCTTGGGATACACCCTAGTATGTTACTCTTTAAACGATATTCACCTTTGTAACTTCAACAACATGGAGAACACCTGATAACATCAGTAATGAGTGTTTTACTTTAAAAAATAGGTGAATTCCACTATTCATTGCTCCCTTGATTCTACCACGAAATGTACTTCCAAATTAAATAAACATCACCGTATCCTTATCTTTATAATATTATTCAGATGAATCGATTAGAATGAACAGTTGATGGAATACAAATAAATACAACAGAAAAATAGTTTCAAAGACAACTATTTACTTAAAAGTTAATTATATATGTCCTTAAACGATTTGGTCTGTTTACATGGAAACAGAATGATTAAAATAGTGATATTAAGTGACCGTCAGGAAAACGTAACTCTCTAAAGAATCTAAAAAGGAAGTTAATCTCAAATTATATAATTTTCCACATATATTACAACGATGATTACCCTTTGAAATTTTCACTTAAAATCTATTAAAATAGATGAGATACTTGCTTTCTCCGCTTCATGATAGATTACTACTTATGAAAAGAGATTGTTACCAATCGTAATAGAGATCAGTAAAGAGGAAACCTTCTACCTGTCTTACAATAATTATTACCTTCATAGTTATTTTTTTATATGAATCACGTAGATTTTTGATAATAACAATACATTTATGGTATCGATGTCTTATCATTGAATATTTTAGAATTTATGTTACTTAATTCATTCATTCATTTATGTTTTCACATAATAGACTATTCAGCATACGACCAAGAATCGGATACATCAAACAATAATAACAAATCTAATCAAATGTTACCAATTTATTGTTCCATCATGGGTTTAATAATTATTTCATTATTATGTTATGTTGTATACAAATTATGGCGACAAAGAGAAGCGTCAAAAAATGCCAAATTAACTGATTCGTACAATAGTAACAAAACTGATTTATTAGATAGAACATCTTGTTTGGATAATAATCATTTACAACATCGAAGAATCTCATCAGGTTTCATAAATAATAATAATAATAATGCTCATTTACCAAATCATTCACCTCAGTCTACAACTGAACTTAATAACACTATTAATTCAACACCCGATAACGATATTAATAATCATCTTCAATTTAATGATATTATTGTTGGTCATGAAAAAGCACCATTACTTGGGAAATTAGATCATTCAAACAGCTCATTTAGTAAGTTATTATTTCTCAGTAGTTTTTTTAAAATTTTTATCCTATTTATCTATATTTTCTGAAATCAACAATAAACTATATTATTTTGGGGAGATTTCTGAAGACTATAGAATTTTCATAGTTTCAATAATGAAATGATCTTAACTAAACCACCACCGAAAATTTGGGAGTAGTAGTCGGTCTTTTCGTTCTAGTATAGAACTCCTCAGCTCAACTAGGGATTGAAACGGTCCAAATTCTAAAATCTTCAAAAATCTCCCTAAACTAGCAATAATCACTTGTGAGCAAGTTATTAGCTTGAAGATGAAACTCCTGGAGTTATTCTGAAAAGCTATGACTAGTGGGGTCCAAGCATGTTTGGTGTGTAACGGCTATCCACTGAAGGCAATAGATGAACGTCACACAAAATTGCGAATCGACCGAAGTTAGGTATTAACAACGTTGGATACCGGCACACGGGTCTAGGTGTCAAGCGTTCATGAGTGAGACCGGAGGTTCTAGGTTCAAAATTCGGTGGCGAGTTCGTGGATGTGCATTGCTGAGGGGTTCTATGCTAAGACGAAACAGTTATCCAGTCACTACGAGTTTTCAGCAGTGTTTTAGCTAAGGTTAATTTGTTATTTAAGCTGTGAACATTCAAAAATTTCCACAAGTCCCTCTCTTTATAAGAAAATACAAGATTATCCAAATACCGTTTTTGTATGAACGCTAGTGTCTTTTAATGCATAATAACTATAACCTTTTGTATTACCATACTAAAAATTAGAAAAGTCTTTTATTGGTAGCAGTTGTATGCAAGGGAATAAAAAAAATAAATCTATCTCCTTAGACTTTTCCATTGTGCAAAGTGATGCCTTAGTGGTCGATATATTTGTCCTTCAACCAGTAAGTCACTTTGTTCAACCACACTTTAACTAAATTCAGTCTAGACACCCAACTAGTATCATTATCCTTGACATAGAATTCGGTTAAACTTATGAAAGTCAAGAAACTTTCAATATTATTATCTTTTAATTTAAATTAAAATACCACCAACTTCGTTGAATATCATTTTTATTCATTTGTTTATTTTCGAATTTCTTCAACCAAACGGAAAACTCTCTTATCGTTTTAAATATAGTCTAGATGTGTTAATCACTTCTACCATTAGTTGTGCATACAAAAAACACACTATATTTGAAGTGAGGAGGGGATAGTTTACAATCTTGTTACACTGTACTCAATTTTTTTTGGACAGTTTCTTTTTCCATCGAAAAAAGTAATGTAATGTAATGTCATAAATTAAGCTTCATTCAATTTAACGATTCTTAATTATTTATTGGATATCTTATAAAACTTTAATGAAACTTGTGAGATAGGCTTTTTTTGAAACACTCTATAGTAGGTTGATCAAATCCCAACATTTTCAAATGAAATTCTCACATACATGAAACACTAGGATTATTTATTTGTGTAACTAGTATCTAGTTGAATAGGACCAATAAATTTATGTCTATTTCTATTTCCCTCTTGATCGCTCTCATGTTAAATGATTATTTATTGTTTACATTTATTTATATGCATATTTTAGGTAATTTTGAACAAAAACCAATATCAGTAATTCCAATGAATATCCTAGGAGTTATTTGTTATCGTTTATCTCAACACGGATGGCAGGAACTGGCTAATATAATGGGTAAGTAGTATTAGATTTCATTATGATTTTTCCAAACTAATAATTTTATGTATAGACATATGTTTCTTATTAAAAAAGGACCAAATCATGCATAAACGTGAATATGAATTAAAAGTATACTTCGAATATTCCTCATGATATGCATTTTAAAAAAATTGTAAAATACATCCTACCGATCAGCAGAAACAAGTAGATAGATTTGATAATAGCACAATGATATAAAAAGAATGAATGGATATTAAAGTAAAGATTTGTTGGAAACCAAACGTATACAACATAGTTTAGGAGAAAAGGGTGAAGTAATGAATAAAATCAGGAAGAAATCAAAAATATAAAACAATTCAAAATGAATATATTTAAAGCTATACAAGGTCAGTTGGCCAGTTACATTTAACACAGAACCTGGTACATGTGTACATCGGTTCAAGTTCATACAACCCATTAGCACGATGAGATCAAATTGTCAGTGCAAATCACACAATAGTAAGAGAATTAATGGTAGTACAAAAGATTCAACATACGAGATAACATTCAACAACAAAAATACAAATTAGTATAATAAAAACATTTGTACACTTCAGATCTAAGAGAATAAATTGAGTGGATGAACCTGAACCACTCCAAACGATTTTGAGCCATTTCACTCAGAGTCTCTAATCACTAGTTATGATGGTCACATCGACCACAACCATGTAGTCCATTTGCACAAACACACACACAGCTCACTACAATAGTCAGTATGCTTACAGACTGATGTCGTGAGTTGATCTGTTTACCCTGGTTCACTTCTAACCAACCTACTCCTACAACACCTATCGTCACGTGTCCACGTTGTCGGTAGATGGAAATCTGTTAAACATGTTCTAAGCATCTCAATCGATAGAGATTCACTACCTCATCAGCCGGTTTTCCATCCTTCCCTAGAATTCTGTGTCTAATTCCAGAATGATTAACCTGATGATCCGCAAATACATGATCAATGGATTGAGGCCACCTATGACTGGATGCTAGTAATCTGTGAATATCCTCTATTATAAAAGTTCATGTTTCACACCCATAAATTAATATCATCTTCATAATTGTTTGCATAGATTGCAATATCAATTTAACTTGTAAAATAAATAATAACAGAAAGTTTTCGTCTGCCACATCCTCGATCATCACATCACAACATAATAGCATATTGCGGTCAAAATCTTTTTTTTTAACCGACAGACAATTATCTTAGCCATCCTACGAGTGTCGCAAATTGGTAAAAGCCTATAGAAATTCTCGAATTATTTAGGCACCAACCTATGGGGATTAATGTGATTCACAAGATAGGTGAAGTATATCTTGTTCATTTACAAACACAACAAACCTTTTGCAATTTGGTTTATTATTATTTTTATTGATATTATTCTTACCTCCACCCATTTTAGATTTAGAAACAAGCAAATTTGATCAATTACCCTCAGAGGTAACATCAGACTTATTATCAGCTGCTATGGAAGCTCAAAATACTGTTGAATCCCATTTAAAACTATGTAATCAAGATAACCCTAATACAATACAATCAATCACTAATAACAATCCTAAAAATAACTTAACAATGACCGTTTCAATGTTCCAATATATGTGTCTACAAAATGTGAATTTAGGTCAACTAATGAATTCTTTACAAAAACTTAATCGTTCAGATCTTGTCGCCTTAATTCAACAACACACTGGAATAATAAAATTGAAAAAATCTATCAATCATTCAAATGAAGAATATAAAGATAAAACAAAATCAATGAAATCCAAAGAAATTTTCCAAATAGAAAACTAATTACAATTCTTTATTCCTAATATAAATAGATTATCATTGAATAAAGAAAATATTTAATTAGTTTTACTAGAATAGTACTTTTAATCTAAGTCAAAATAATCATAGCCTTTCATTAATTTACTTTACCCTAAATCAAACATTATAATTAATTTACAGGATGAAAGGATAAAATACATTGTTGAATTATAAGATCTTTTTTAATACTTTTTACAGTTTAATTATATTTCATTATTATGTAACAACAATAACAATAACAAATCATCTATTTGCTATTTAATTTTAAAATTATTTCAAACCAGTGAACTATTAAACATTTTTTTCTATTGACAATTGAATGCATTTCAAACAAAAAGAATATCACAATGAAACAATAGTACATAGAGAGTCAAGGCATGAAATTAAACAAAACTTCGTCAATATAAAATACCCATTCTTACTTTTCTTTTGTGTGTATGTGTGTGTGTGTGTGTTTAATCAAATATATACTTGTTATATGTTATTGATATGTTTCATGGTTTTATCTCTGTATATTGTGTGCTAACTTGTTCATTTGTCAAATATCCAACATCTTTTTTAATTCAAACATTTAATAAAATCGTTTATCTGATCATGTTATTTTGTTGAATTTTTCTATAATAAAAACAAACAAACATACACTTGAGTGTTAACTTGAACAATGTTAAATAAGAATTGAATGGTTTCATTTGTGTAAAATATAATAAGTGTTTATCTTCTATACCGGAAATATATTTCAATAATGATAGAATATTCTTAACAATGGTTGAATGATGTATGACATAAAAGAAAATATAAACAGAACTAGAAATTGTTTATTAATTAGCCGGTGATCAATCTATTAAAAAAATAACACAACATATATATTGACAATTGTGTTTAATGATCTATTGCTTTTATTGTAAGTTTCCAATTTCTTTTTATCAATATTACAAAACTAACAATAACTATTGTTACTATTCCCTTTTATTATTCATATCGCCTATTTGATTATAAATTAATAGTTATTTAAAGAATCTTTATACAACTGTTTACCTATTCTCATGTTTGTTTTGTTTTTGTTTTTCTGAATAAAATAGGATAAAATAATATTCAATGTTAATTGAATACATTTATTGAGACATTTTGTACATAATGAATCGCCTTACATATTAAAATCCATTTTATATTGAGATATAAACAATAAGTGTTTTTTTTCTTCTTTTTTTAACATGCTCTATTCCCCATTTATTTTTTGTTTTGCTTCTTTTCATGCATAAAATGCAAGAAAAAGTAATCATAATAAAACTTAATATGATAGCATATATTACTTATTAATTAGGTTGATTTCCTTATTGTTTCTTACTTATTTGAATTTTTCTGTACAAATTACAATTACTTTTACTGAACACACATACATGTATACTTCTGCCATTATGTTTTCTTTGCTTTGAATAAATTTATGATATTTCACTCTGATAGTGATTAGTGTTATGATTATACCAATAGATAGTTGAGGATTCTCAACAATTTACAGCAACACAAATGACAATCATGTTCACCAGAACAGTTTGACAGTTAACTATTAATTAGATTATGATAAAGGAAAAGACTGACTTACGCCTGTTACTCGACGTGGAGAAGCATAGGCCGCTCACCATCATTCTCCATCTATCCCTGTCATGGACAATTCTCTCCGCGTGTTTTCAGTTGCTACTGATACTTTTCATGTCTGCCTCCAATTCCCGACGCAATGCGTACTTCGATCTACCTCTTTTCCGTTACTCTTCAGGATTCCAGGTTAGCGCTTTCCTCGTGATGCAGCTTGGCGATTTCCACGATGTATGTCCAACCCACTTCCTCTTCAACCGGAGGCTAAATTGTTCTCTCCCACAGTAATTTATTGCTGATGGTATCCGGACAACGAACATTGGGTATCTTATGTAGACAATCGTTTATAAATACATATACTGTCTCGATGATGATTGTAGTGGTTGTCTACGTTTCCGCTACGCACAGTAGGACTGTCTTGACGTTCGTATTGAAAATTCTCACTTTTATGTTGACTTGTAGACAATGGTTTTGAGTTCCATATGTTCTTCAACTGTAGGAATGCTACTCTTACTTTGACAGTCCTTTTCTTTACGTCTGCATCCGATCCTCCTTGTTCACCGATGATACTGACCAGGTCTGTGAAAGTTTCCACCTGTTCCAGTGTGATGGGTTGGTGTCCTCCGTGTTGCATTTGAAAATGTTGCTTTTCTTTTGTGTATGTTGAGGCTTGTTGATGCAGTCTGCTGCTATACTGTTTGTCTTGACCTGCATTTATTCATGTGTATGAGATAGAACTAGGTGGTCGGAGAAGTCTAAATCATCTAGTTGCATTCAAGCTGCCAATTGTAGTCCGTGCTTCCCCTCAGATGTCGAGGTCTTCGTAATCCAGTCAACCACTAGATCTTCCACATATTTCTGCTTGTCAGCTCTAATACTCCTCTTCACTTGCTTGTCTGCCTCTGTGTATTCGGTTTGTGTCTTTCTCTGCTCTTATTTCGCTGTTGAAAATTTCTGTCCTCTTGTTCTTCCTTTCTTGAATTCTGTCCAGAGTATCGATAGGAAACCATTCCTTATGATGGTGCTTCTTGCGGCCCGGCACCTCCTGAAACTTTGAAGTCAATGCTTTTTTAATCGCTTCCCAGTTGTCCTCCATGGTAGCTTCTTCTTTCAGTAGGTCCTGTAAATTTTGGAACCTGATGTCTAGAATTATCCTGAATTCTTTGAGTTTGTCAGCATCTCGAAGGAAGGTTGTATTAAACTCTTGTAATGCTATTTCTTCAGTTTTTCAATGCTCTTGCAGCTCCAGTTTCATTTTGGCTATAACCGGGTGGTGGTGGTGATCTGAAGCTATGACAGCTCCTCTCCTGGTTCTCACATTTCCTATTGACCTGAATATCTTAGTGGTACGAATGTGACCGATCTGGTTCTTTGTAGTGTGATCCGGTGAGACTCGTGTAGCTTTCTGTATGCATTTTTGGGTAATATAGTGCCTCCTACAACCGTTTTGTTGAATGCACATAAATTTGCAAATCTGTCACCATTCTCATCACTTTCTCCCTGTCAGTTCATAGCGTCCCGTGATGTCTGCATACTCAGTATTGTCTACTCCGACTTTGGCGTTTAGGTCTCCGGTCAGGTTCCTGAGCACTTCACTAAGATCAATTGTAGCTTCTCGTAAAACTGGTATTTAACGTCTTCGTTGCTATTATCGGTGGGTGAATAACATTAATTGTGACCCCCTTCTTCTTTGTCTTGAAGGATACTTTGATGGTTCCGGATCTATGAGATTATCATCCTGTAAGTGAGTTTTGTGCTTCTTTGGACAGCATCAGAGCAACTCCCTGAGTGTAGATCATTTTCTTCTTCGTGACCAGAGTATAAGTGAACCTCTCTCGAATCTAACCTTTTCTGTCCAGTTTGGGTCCAATGTGTCTCACTGATTCCGAGCACCACAACGTTGTATCTTCTCATTTCTGTAGCTATTTGACTGGTTCACGCGGTCTCTCATATTGTTCGGACATTTCATGTACCTACATTAATTGTTGATCTAGTTGTTAGAGGGAAAACCGGACTCATGGCTTCCGAACAATCTTGGTTTTTACCATGTGTTATAATTTTTCTGGACGAAGATTCAAGTCGGACGGAAGAGTTTGAATTGTCTATTTTGGTTAGTGTTTTTCAACAAGGTTATTTTCTACGAGATAGGGTTGCTGACCCCGTGCTCAACAATCCTTCTTTACTCGGGCTTGGGAGCGATAGTAACCATAGGAGAGCTACAGGGAGACTTTAAAGGAAAAGACGAATTAGAGAATATTGTAATATTTTCTTTACAATGAAGTAAAAGTCATCCAATCAATAAGTAAAATTAAATATTCTTTTTTCTTAATGATGTATACCAAATAACTGATGAGAATATTGAAACGTTTAGTGCTGACGACTCAAATGTAACTTCACAACTATTTTGAAATAGGAACTAATTCAAATGTAGTATTAATATGACTACCCCGATGATATGTGAAGGTTAGTCTAAGTAAGGATATACCTATACAATGATTGATAACGGAATATAATGACACAAGAATAAATCGTAGGGCAATGATAGCCAAAACACATGATATGAATTTTATTACAGATTACACAAAGACTCACAAGTTTCAACAGTGAGACCAACAAACTTACATTCTTAAAACAGATTTTTTAATTAGACGAGAATTTGTTTGATAACAGAATAAGAGCAATAGATACTGAGTAAAGTTATAGTCTAACAAGATAAGTGCCTATCCATCTATACTATCAGAAAAATATTATAACGGAGGATGAAAATGATTTACGGGTCAGAATTATGAAGGATAATTGTCCGCTTGACAGATATATGAAGGATGAAAAAATGTAAAGGTCATAATCATAACTGAATAATAATCATTAAAAATTGTTAAGAGCTTAAAATAAGTGATTACGGTTTAAAATTATAAAACAATAATGAGAACAAAACAAAACCAAAACATACTACAGAAGGGAATCAGGGTTATGGAAGGATGAGTGATATGTGGTAACGAGTTGGACATACAGTTCTTGCACAGAATTCGCACCTGAATTGGTGGATCGCCAATAAAGTTATATAATAAATGCCAAATATACTCAGATTATCTAAATTATATTTATTAAAATATCTGCAAAAATACTTGTGTGCTTAGTGTAAAGTGAACCTCTGGTCATGTACAACTTACTTTTTCTGAAACTAAATGAAGCCTAGACAGCAAACGTATCAGTATAGTGTGAAGCCCATTAATTCTCTCTAGTGGTTTACGACCACAAAGCGGTTAACAGTAATAAAATGTCTAGAAGTTTCAGTTTAACTTGGATTTCACTAGATTTGCACGTTATCTATACCTGGATGGACACATTACCTAAACCAAAGGCTTATATAGTTCTTTTTTGTAAGAAGAGTTCACAATACACCCATAAGATTAAATAATTATGAAAAAAACAATGATGTAAATGTTAGTTAGAAATTCGGGAGTAGTTTAAATTTACACCAATATCACAAGTGATATTTAAGTGTTCTCTGAAAGTCATCCTTGGGACTAAATTTTTAAAACATCTATCCGTTTGATCACAACCGACTCAGAATCCTTGATCTGCACATTTCTATTGTTCGGAAACATATTCCCAGTGCTTATTTCTCACTATTATTTTTATAATCATTTCAAATGATTCACGACTGGTATCGTTAACTCATCCCATTATGATATACATATTTATAAGTCTCCATGTTGATTACGACTGACTGATTACCAGGAAAGGAACAGTTTCTGCCTACTTAGATTATTTGTAATACTAGTTTGAACACACTAACGACCACTTAAAACCAGTTGCACATTGCATTTGAACTAGTGATATACTCTGTAGATAATAGATACATTTACTGTCTGATTTATACATACCGTAATGTTTACAGTGTAGTGTTTACCTATAAGCTCAAAAATCTATGTAAATTCACTTTTTTTCTGTCTTGAGTTTTATTTGATATGAACGACTGGGAACTATGGGGAAGATTCGACTAATACAAGGAACTCCATGCATATGCACTTTAAGAATTTAACTAATAAAGGAGCCATGATGGAACAGGATAGATGAGACAACAAATATTAAATACATGATTTAAAAAAATTCTTTTACGTAACCTATATACGTAAAAGAATGCTATACCTAAAATAATCTCTTCATACGAAGCAGAAAAATGAATATTGCACAACAGTAATTCGGTTCAGATTATCAAATCTACCAATAATACAGAGAAATCTAAGAGGAAACTGTTAACAGGAATCAGTCAATATGGAGCATATAGCTACAATGTGTTTAGGACGGCATACGGCAAAATGACAAGTGATGTATCCTTTTGACCCTTAGAATGTATATTATAATTCTTAGTGTCTACAAAAACTGGTCCTAAACACATCGAGTCTTTTATTCAATGTCTACACGTCTTTGGTGAATAATGTTTACATTATGTCATTACAAAGTCTACTATAAAGTACACGTGATAACACTAGAAAAGTAGCGAATATAAGGATAATTTGAAAAACAGAACGAGAATCACTGCGCATGTTTATATGTAAAGGTCGAGAGAAGTTACATGACATACAACTGAAGTTACTTCCGCATGTACTATAGATTATGCAAAACAGTTGGTGTTTGAGATAGGTAATAATAACTTGACTACTATTTTCTTAAATCCAATGTCAATAGGCTAAACCATTACTACCTGAAATAATCATGAATTTCATCATTTAATTATCCAGTTCTTTATACAGTAGTCACTTCATTTCCCGAACTCCAGATTTACCGAATGAGCCATAGAAAAATGCCTAACTCCGGTTCATATTTCTGTAGCTATGAGAGGGGTAGACAACAGTGACTAAATGTACCACCCTCTAAGCTTCTGGTGCGATACACTACTCAATTAACACCAATATTGTAGATAGAGCTGGAGTATTAACATTATCCCTTCAAGTCATGAGTTTTATAAACAACTCAAAGCGGAAAATGTCAAGTTCGAAAGAATATAGAAGTCTACCTATGAAGTAATCAGGAGTGGACTTGATAATGCAACAGAAGGAAAATTCCCTTTAGCCGGTCGGTTCATCATACATCCTCAGAATGAAGTTATTAGTAAGAGGAATAAAACATACAGCAAGAATGGGTAACCAGGAAATCATAACGAGTCATTTTAGTTATTTAATCTAAATGAACTGCAAAGTATAGATTTATGTACTCGACTTTAAGCCACACCATGAGTGCTAGTGCTAAAACCTGATCTTCCAGATCTTACACGTGAAATCAGTCAAATGAATAGACGAAAGATATGTGTATTATTTTGAAGAACCCATTAATTAAGCTTCGCTAACTGTAACAATGTTTCCATGATATCCTAACATTATAGTCATATTGTTTGGAACACAGGAAAACCAAAAGAAGTGAATCTTAGTCCCCAGGGAGAAGGCTTAAAAATATGATACCAATATTGCGAAAGATACCGGTTACCGATTTTAACCAGTTATCTCTTGGAACTACTAATTGTAGTTTCTAACTTCGATTCCTTAATTATTCACAAAAGCGTGAAGTGAGTATAGTATGCCCATGGACTATTTCGGAAAAAAAAGTACGCAATAATTTTGATCATTATATTGACAGCACTCATGCGACATAAAAACAACCATAAAATCAAAATAGCCACAAATAAGGTCTTAAAAAACTTTATGATTTTCGTGTAGCATCCACAAATACGAGAGGATCTTTGCCCACAACACGAGCAGAATGTGGTATATTGCGAGGAACTTCAAGACGATCACCAGGACCTAATATAATTTCCTTTCCATACATAGTGAATGAAAGCTGGCCGCTAACAATACAGTCCAGTTTATCTTCGTTGTGGGTATGTTCCGGAAAATTGGTGCCAGGACTGAACTTGTAATTTATGTAACTGCAACCCTGCAATCAGTGAACAAACAAATTTGGCAACTACATTATTACACAAAATAATTGACGATACCTCCGATTTGAGCTTCTTTAGCATATTTTCTATGGTGAGTTGGCCATCAACGGATTCATCCCAACGGTGGACAACAAACTCGGACATCTAGAAACAGAAGAAAATACACCACCACAGTTAAATATAACTTGAAGAAAAACCACTCTATAAGTGCAGCAAGGACAATACATTTTAAAAAATATATTACGTTTAGCGGCCAATCATTTCAGAAAATACAATGATTGAATATATGAAAGAGCATACAAAAAAATTGAATTTGTATGGACGATTATCAGGTCGTTGTATTACAACCTGCGAAATTGCCCAAAACTCGATGTGGCACTCATACAACTAAGGAATACTGAGTGCGGACAACATTCACACGTAGTTCAGCGAACAGCAGCATTCACACAATACAACATTGCATTTGTATGGACGATTATCAGGTCGTTGTATTACAACCTGCGAAATTGCCCAAAACTCGATGTGGCACTCATACAACTAAGGAATACTGAGTGCGGACAACATTCACACGTAGTTCAGCGAACAGCAGCATTCACACAATACAACATTGCATTTGTATGGACGATTATCAGGTCGTTGTATTACAACCTGTGAAATTGCCCAAAACTCGATGTCGCACTCATACAACTAAGGAATACTGAGTGCGGACAACATTCACACGTAGTTCAGCGAACAGCAGCATTCACACAATACAACATTGCATTTGTATGGACGATTATCAGGTCGTTGTATTACAACCTGCGAAATTGCCCAAAACTCGATGTGGCACTCATACAACTAAGGAATACTGAGTGCGGACAACATTCACACGTAGTTCAGCGAACAGCAGCATTCACACAATACAACATTGCATTTGTATGGACGATTATCAGGTCGTTGTATTACAACCTGCGAAATTGCCCAAAACTCGATGTCGCACTCATACAACTAAGGAATACTGAGTGCGGACAACATTCACACGTAGTTCAGCGAACAGCAGCATTCACACAATACAACATTGCATTTGTATGGACGATTATCAGGTCGTTGTATTACAACCTGCGAAATTGCCCAAAACTCGATGTCGCACTCATACAACTAAGGAATACTGAGTGCGGACAACATTCACACGTAGTTCAGCGAACAGCAGCATTCACACAATACAACATTGCATTTGTATGGACGATTATCAGGTCGTTGTATTACAACCTGCGAAATTGCCCAAAACTCGATGTGGCACTCATACAACTAAGGAATACTGGGTGCGGACATCATTCACACGTAGTTCAGCGGACAGCAGCATTCACACAATACAACATTGCATTTGTATGGACGATTATCAGGTCGTTGTATTACAACCTGCGAAATTGCCCAAAACTCGATGTGGCACTCATACAACTAAGGAATACCGAGTGCGGACAACATTCACACGTAGTTCAGCGAACAGCAGCATTCACACAATACAACATTGCATTTGTATGGACGATTATCAGGTCGTTGTATTACAACCTGCGAAATTGCCCAAAACTCGATGTGGCACTCATACAACTAAGGAATACTGAGTGCGGACAACATTCACACGTAGTTCAGCGAACAGCAGCATTCGCACAATACAACATTGCATTTGTATGGACGATTATCAGGTCGTTGTATTACAACCTGCGAAATTGCCCAAAACTCGATGTCGCACTCATACAACTAAGGAATACTGAGTGCGGACAACATTCACACGTAGTTCAGCGAACAGCAGCATTCACACAATACAACATTGCATTTGTATGGACGATTATCAGGTCGTTGTATTACAACCTGCGAAATTGCCCAAAACTCGATGTCGCACTCATACAACTAAGGAATACTGAATGCCCTGGTACGGCCGAGAGTGGGGAGAGTCCGCTCTCCCTCTCGAAATACTCTCTCACGGCCACGCGTATACAGCCTCTGCCAGGGAAGTCCTACTCATTGCCTTCTCGTGGCGGGGGTGTTGTTTACGAAAATGAGAGGACGAGAAGCGAATGTCCGGCGCTTTAACCGGATTCCAAACCAATGGTGCACATGGGCTCCAGTATCCTGCGGGAACGAATGGCGTATGAACCAATCGTTGGTCACCGGCTACCATGGGACTGCATCTCCTTACGATGCTCCACTGCCTTGTGGGTTAGACCTTTAGGTCAAAGGCTCGGGGAGTGGCCCCCTAAGATAACCACCTGCTTCGGTTTGGGCACCCGGGCAGTATCACAGCCCACACACAAATGATGAACTGTTTATGTCTATGGAAACTACTTTTGCCGCTTTGAAAAACAATCAATTGATTCAAATTATGATCACTTCAATTATTGTCATTATTAATACTAATATTATTATTACTACTATTATTGTCATTATTGTTATTATTATCATTATTATTATTATTTTCCACATTATTCACCTTCTTTTATACTTATACAGCGGCTCGTCTTTGGTGGAATTCCAACTGTATCTAAACGTTCTCGAGTCACTGTCCGGTTGAAAATTGTATGTTACCACCGAATACGAGGACTGAAGCAGATTTTCTGAAACCACGTGCACCATTCAAACTGGCTGCCTTCAACGTTCGCACATTTATGCAGGTCGGACAACAGATAGGGCTGGCTATGTCTTTGGAAAGTCTTAATATCGACGTGTGTTGTCTATCCGAGACCCGTATTCAAGACTCTGGCGAAGTACTACAAATTCGATCTCCATCTGTCGCTTCGAAAAGCTTGTTTTACGTGCGCTTATCCGGGGACCCTGTGGCATCTTCGTCTGGTTTTGCTGGCGTTGGTGTCGCACTAAGCGCTAGAGCTGAGGCAGCACTAATCGATTGGATCCCCATTAACAGTCGGTTATGTGCTGTTAGATTAGAAAGTTCCATCAAAGTGAGAAGAAATCGGCGTGAGAAACGATGTCTTTTCGTCATCTCCGCCTATGCCCCGACAGATTGCAGCCCGGATGCAATCAAGGATGAGTTTTACCACCAGTTATCAGTTCTTCTCCAGAAAGTGCGTTCGACAGATATTGTAGTACTAGCCGGAGACTTGAATGCTCAGGTCGGGCGTCTAGGCACAGAAGAGAGTCGTTTAGGTGGCCGATGGGGACTCGTTGGTCGCAGGTCAGATAACGGGGACCGTCTACTGCAACTTTGCGCAGACCACAACCTGTTTCTGGCTAGCACTAACTTTCGGCACAGTCATCGCCGATGTGCCACCTGGCGTCCTCCCTCTGCATCTCAAGCCTGGACTCAGATTGATCACATCGCGATCAGCTACCGCTGGCGTGGTTGTGTACAAGACTGCCGCTCCTTTTGGAGTACCTATCTGGACTCTGACCATGCCTTGGTCTGCGCCAATCTTGCCTTACTTTTCAGTGGACAACGAAGTGAACGCCATCAACGGATTGATGTTAGCAAGCTGGTTGCAACTTCTGTTGCAAGTAAGTATCGAACCGAGCTAGCCTCTAGGCTAGCTACCACTCCACCGAAAAGTATAGATGAGCATTGGTTGCAATTGCATGACGCCATGAAAATGGCGGGAACAGTTAGTTGTGGGTTTGCGAAACGTCCCGCTTTTAAGCACTGGGTTTCTTCTGGTTCCTTACAACTCATTGAAGCCCGTCGGTCTACTCCGGGTAACCGTGAGTTTGACCATAAACGAAGGTTTTTACGTAAGGAAATCGGGCAAAGCTTGCGTAAGGACCGAGAAGCCTGGTGGTCGATGCGTGCTAATGAGCTGGAAGCAGCAGCTGCATCTGGTAACTACCGGAAGCTCTTCCAACTCATCCGAGCCACTAGCAGCAAGAAGTCTGGTGTGAGTGAAACAATCTGCGAGGATGACGGGATGCCAATCACTAACATCCATCGACGTCTTGGACGATGGGCAGAATTTTTCGAAGGGCAGTTCAACTGGCCTGCTGCTCCGGTAACATCGGTCAGACTGTCCTGCCCTCCATGGCCGGTGACGACTGATCCACCAAATGAGGAGGAAGTCCGCAAGGAACTCCAACTCTTGAAGCGTTACAAATCACCTGGCCCAGATGACTTACCTCCGGCTCTTTTTAAAGATGGTGGTGACTTTTTGACTAAGGAATTGACGACGTTGTTTACAAAGGTTTGGGATCTAGAGAGTGTACCAACGTCATGGAATGAGTCGATAGTTGTCCCTATCTTTAAAAAGGGTTCACGTCGTTCTTGTAACAACTATCGGGGGATAAGTTTACTTCCGATTGCGTCCAAGCTATTGGCTTCCGTCATTCTTCGTAGGTTGTTCAAAACCCGAGAAAGATTGACTCGCGAGGAGCAGGCTGGGTTTCGTTCTGGTCGAGGATGTATTGATCATATCTTCGCTCTTCATCAAATGTTAGAATACCGTCATACTTATCACAGGCCAACAATCGTAGTGTTTCTTGACATCAGAGCTGCCTTCGATTCGTTGGACAGGACTGTTCTCTGGGATTGTCTATTGGAGAAGGGTGTGCCTGAGAAGTTTATTAACATCCTAAAAGCCCTATATACAAACACCTCAGGCGGACTGAAGGCATACAACCACCTCTCTCCATTGTTCCATTCGAGCAGTGGGGTTAGGCAGGGTTGCCCAATCTCACCATTCCTCTTCAACTTTGCCATCGATGAAATTCTGGAAACAGCTCTGATGAATGTAAGTAATGGTGGTGTGGATCTGTTGCCTGGAGAAAGACTTATAGACCTTGAGTATGCGGACGATATTGTCTTACTGTGCGATAATGCCCAAGGCATGCAATCCGCACTTAATCAGTTGGCAATCAATGTCCGTAGGTATGGTATGTGCTTTGCACCTTCGAAGTGCAAAGTACTTCTACAAGACTGGCAGGATTCTAGTCCTGTACTCACTCTGGATGGTGAGCAGATAGACGTAGTTGAGAAGTTCGTGTATCTGGGTAGCTACATAAGTGCTGGTGGGGGTGTGAGTGATGAGATCAATGCACGAATAGTGAAAGCCAGAGCGGCTTATGCCAATCTGGGCCACCTTTGGCGCCTTCGTGATGTTAGTCTGGCTGTAAAAGGCCGGATCTACAACGCGTCGGTGAGAGCAGTTTTGCTCTATGCTTGTGAAACCTGGCCTCTCCGAGTTGAGGACGTTAGACGACTCTCTGTGTTCGATCATCGCTGTCTCCGAAGGATTGCTGACATTCAGTGGCAACACCATGTCAGTAATGCAGAGGTTCGGCATCGTGTGTTCGGGCACAGAGATGATAATGCAATTGGTGTCACCATCTTGAAACACCGACTTCGGTGGCTTGGACATGTTCTCCGAATGTCGTCCCAGAGAATTCCACGTCGTGCATTATTTGCCGACTCTGGGACTGGTTGGAAGAAGCGGAGAGGTGGTCAGTGCATGACATGGTGTCGTGGCATGAAAGAAAGCTGCAAAGGACTGGCTTGTGTTGGTCCTTCACGACTCCCTGGCTGGGGTCCGAGAGATGGTGCAACACAGTGGCTAGAGACGTTATCAGATATGGCTCAGAATAGAAGCCAGTGGCGATCCTGCTGTAACCTTCTTTTACTTTCTTCATAAAAGTGGTTGTATCTTACTTAACTGAAAGATTTCTTCTGATTGTACCTCTTCGTCATTACTCTCTTTTTCTTTTGCGTTCCTTAGTTTTTTTTTCTTTCTACTTCTCTTCGAATTCCCATTGTTTTCTGTGGCGCATATATATTGGCGCTCTCTTGTACCAATATTTATGTGTTCAAATAAATAAATAAATAAGGAATACTGAGTGCGGACAACATTCACACGTAGTTCAGCGAACAGCAGCATTCACACAATACAACATTGCATTTGTATGGACGATTATCAGGTCGTTGTATTACAACCTGCGAAATTGCCCAAAACTCGATGTCGCACTCATACAACTAAGGAATACTGAGTGCGGACAACATTCACACGTAGTTCAGCGAACAGCAGCATTCACACAATACAACATTGCATTTGTATGGACGATTATCAGGTCGTTGTATTACAACCTGCGAAATTGCCCAAAACTCGATGTCGCACTCATACAACTAAGGAATACTGAGTGCGGACAACATTCACACGTAGTTCAGCGAACAGCAGCATTCACACAATACAACATTGCATTTGTATGGACGATTATCAGGTCGTTGTATTACAACCTGCGAAATCCCTCAAAACGTACTCTCGGACTCATGCAACTAAGTTATACAAAGTTTTATTGGCAGTTATTTTGCCGGAAGGTTGTTCATGTTCTCAATGCATTTCATCAATCCATTTACTGTCTACAAAATGATGATTATTATGCAAAGAACTTTTACAATTGTTTTTTATTATTATGGACAATAAGAATTCAAATGTTCTAAAAATAAACCATTTGGTTGAATTCTTACCTGGAAAATCGAAAACTGTCAACTATGTATAATACCTTATGCGGATAAACCTTTGAAACTCTACTTATTACGCACTAATTCGACATGTTTTGTTAAAACAGACCAGTATACGAGTTCTTGAACTAGACAGTTTTATTTGTTCGTACTGGTGCACGAAGTGCATCATTTTTATATTCTATTTATTCGTGTTATAGTGTAACTCACAACTCTCACACGTTTTCGTCTGAGCGTCATGCAATATTTACATTAAATAACTAGTGGGACAAATTCTACGGGAAGTTTAACCTAACACTGGACAGAGACACCTGTTTTTATTAACGTAGCTAATTAAATTTTATTTTTGCAAAACGAAAAAACCGGTTGACTGAAAAACTTAAGAGAGAAGCTATTAAGTGTATTCAATACAATGATTTTATAAAATGTTCTTACGATTTTATTAGAATTGCGATTTTTGACACTTATCATTGTACCTATGAGCACTGACGAGTCAGGAAGAAGCCCATGGCAATCATAAGCATGTGCGAAAAGTTTGGCGGAGTCACAGAATTTTTGAGGGCATGCGACGAGAAAACAGTCCAGCTGAAATCCAATGGCTAAACCACTGTCTGCGTATTTACCTTTGATTTAAAAGCTCCACAATGTGTAATTTGTTCATGTATCGAAAGAAGCCTTGAAGATATAAAACTTAAACCACAAAGTGAACATGAATGATGATGACAAGTTGCATAATGTTGCTCCATCAGCTGTAGATCCTCAGTGACACAAAGGCAAGATGAGTTTGGACAAGAAATACTACTTTGTGGATCGTTGTTAAATAAAGCAACTTTTGTACCTGGTACTGTAAGAAGTACACCCTAAGTCATTCACTAGTAAACACTTATCTGATGGCAGAAAGTTGTCCATTAAATCAAAGAACCCAAGGTTTGAAGTCATTATCTAGAAGAAAGATAAACTCATATCAATATCGAAAACCAAGGACGAAAAATCATACAACTCCTCTAAAGAAAAACATAGACCCGTCTTACAATCAAAGTATCCCTGATAAAGAAAGTCATTCATATTACCCGACATCAGTATCTCAGAGTTGCAGTGTATATAAGTGTATGTACACTTGTCAGTAACCAGTAGTTTGATTGAACAGAAGTATATCTAAACATCCGTACATTACATGAGTAACGAGGGTTTGATCCTGAAGCCTATAATGAACAAGTAAAATAGGATCAGTCCATAGTGATTTACACTACTAACCATAATCGCTGATGTAAGAATCTCGTCATACTCATACAATGTCATATCTACGATACAAGGGTACAACAGGTTCACTTTGGCAATGAAACACTACAATCGTAAGGCATACATGTAACATTGAAGGAGTTGATGCTCTCTGTGAGACACATATCCACGTCACCCAGCCTCACAGTTCGAGACGTTAACAACAAACACAACGCACATATACACCTTGTTGGTGTGTTAAGTAGTAAGGAACCAAGATCAAAGGGTTTCTCACAGGATTTCAATTGAATGCAAATTATTCCTGTTTTGTTCCCAAAGAGCGGCAAAAAAAGAAAGGAAAATATCGAAGGTGAAAATACATGCTGAATAAACCAACCAGTATTAAAAGTGCGCCACTAGAAATGCAGTGAAGAACAAATTTTATGTCGCTATGATCTAAGTAAAAACTGGCAGTGCCTGGCTCATAATATGCATAATGGAGTGTTTATGTGGCTATACAGTATTTTGCCATTCTTACTCGTGACTCAATATCAGCAATGAGTTTATTAGGTTGGTGAACAGAGAGGTGGTAAAGCATCATTGCTTCGTAGTTGATATCAGTTGGTGACGAAAACCTCACGGAATTCTAACCTTAATTCACAATACTCACCTGACTACTAACATGTAAACGTGACAACTTGCCTATATTATGGGGAATAATTCAACACACTAGGGTTAATTTGTCATAAAAATGCCGTTAGTTTACCGTTAGTTTACTCCTTTTTATAGTTAACTAGTTTATGTATTTATTATTTATTTGAACACATAATTATTGGTACAAGAGGGCACCAAATATATATGCGTTACACAAAACAATGAATGGGGAGAGAAAAAAAGAAGGTAAGGAGAGTAAAAGAAAAAAAGAACACTAACGACCAGAATAATGTAAGGTAGTGTAATAACACTCCCGAAGTGCTCTCACACGGCTACGCGTATACAGCCTCTGATAGGGAAGTCCTACTCACTGTCTTTTCGTGGCAGGGGTGTTGTGTACGAAAATGAGAGGACGAAAAGAGGATGTTCGGTGCTTTAACCGGATCCCAAACCAATGGTGAACATGGGCTCCAGTATCTTGAAGAAAAAAAGTGGCGTGTGAATCAATCGTTGGTCTCCGGCTACCATGGGATTGCATCTCCTTACGATGCTCCACTGTCTTGTGGGTCAGACCTTTAGGTCAAAGGCTCAGGGTGTGGCCCCCTACGAAAACCACCTGCTTCTGTCTGGGCACCCGGTCAGTATCACAGCTCACACATAAATAAAATAATAATGACGATATTTACTGAAAAATTCTAACTAGTTTATTACTAAACACTACTTCTTAATTAACTGATAAGTATGGTATACGTTTACCAAATATAGAGAAAATTATTGAAACTTTTGCAAGATAAACAGAACTAGTTTCACATACCAGACACTCATACACACTAACTATACCCCCACAATTCGAGTGTATTGTCACTCCTACGCTTATAACCTGTAACGTCCTGCCTTAGGTAGATTTGTGTCTACCTTGAAGGTACCTTGTATACTAGGGGTGCTAACAATAGTAAGATTAGACGGAAAAGAGTAGGAGAAAAGTGACCCGAAGACTCAGCAAGCATACAGGACGCACTTACATCCAAAAACAAACGCAACTGACAGCAACAAAGGCGACACGAGCGCGAGAACAGGACAACCGTGATAACCAAAACAAAATGATAGAGCGCTATGTCAAAAGGAGAGCGGTGTTTTTCCTCTTTGAGTTAATTTTATTGTTTTGGTCATTTATTACGCATCAAGACTACCGTTTTTGCTTTGACTTAATTTATTTCAGTTAAAGTAATCGCCAAGAAAATCTTTTGTCATATGTACTGAAGATGTGACACAGGTATTCAGTGTTTGACAACGCTTTTACCAGTAACACCTTCTAATGTATTTCGTTCCCACCCAGAGAAATCAAAAGACAGAGTCGAGGAGATCGGAAGAGTGTATTTGGCGATTACCAATATGTCGGAATTCTCTGATCTAATCTGGCTAGCGATTGGGGTTGATGTTGAGCACGGCGTTACCACACGTGATCTGGTGCGGATGCATGACCGAGCGCCTTAAGCTAGATGAGTCCACTAAAACATATGGTCAGCATCCAATGTCGAAAACTTACAGGGCTATTTATTGTGGGAATTTATTTACCGCTACAGTACTTTTCAGTACACTGGTCCTTTTTGTATTTGCTTGAGCTCTTTGTTCTGACAATTAACAGTCTTGTTGTCATCGGTATCTTTTGTCTCTGGGTGCAAGTGATGGTATCACTAAGTTTGCACGAGTCTAACGCCTGTGGATTTCAAACGGTTCGGCAAAAATAGTTTCATGTGGTTGTATCAGCAATGTTGCTCAAGCACAAACTGTTTGTTATTCGAAGCCATTACAATGGTGAATGCTGCCGAAAGGAGTATTAGCAAGCGTAGTCGAGACACACCAAGTTGTACTCGCCCAGTGTATACACAAATTGACGTGAGGCTACTTCAGAAAAGCTCAAAGTACATTGACTTACATGGGCCAACGGAGGAAGGATGGCCAATAAAGAGGTTTGTTAAAAACGATAGCTCACAAAAGGAAGTTTCTTCTGTCCCCAGCCCTTCAGGGAGCAGTGTGCACGAGACGCTTAGAACGCCCAATCGCAAGGCTAGGTCTGTTTATAGCAGGAAAAACAAAATACTGACTACCCGAGTCAGTGACAATCACCCGAGATCCTACAATGTGTGTAACACGACTAAGATTACTACTCCAATGAAAGATGCTACAAGTATTTGGGGTTTATTGATGCCTTAGCCGGTAACACCTTTACAATTGAAGAGTGCCAACCCATCATATCAAAAGTCAGAAATGAAGGAGTTTGAAGATATACTTGATAGGTTACCAATATATCGGGAAGTGAATAATCTAAACTGCTTAGCAGTTGTAGGAGATATGTAGCACGACATGCTCACTCGAGATCTGGTGTGGATGCGTGACCGAGTACCTTCAGCTAGGTGGATTTGGTGAAATTAATTAAGTCAGCATCAAATGTCGAAGACTTACAGAGCGAGTGATTTTGGGGATTTATTAACCGCCACAAATTTATAGACTAGGTAGCCAAACAGAATTGAAATAGAATCGAACAAGGCTTTTAAAAGTAGTATTTAAATATCCCAAAGAAAGAGACTTAATACTACAGGATAGACGTGTAGGGCCAGTAGAATGTTATTGGACCTTAGCAAAATCATACTCAATCAGGTCACAGAATATCGAACAGATCAACCAATGCGCATCAGTTAATCGCACACCATGGACTGGTCCATACGACGGTGGTCGCAACTTCTCCATTGTACCTACGTCTTCTGTGTCATACGGTCTTCGAAGCAGCCATAGTACCTTGATACGGCGAAAGTGTAATCCACATTTGTTACTGACCATGAAGTGTTACTTCAAAGTTAGCTGGTTCATCACACCATTCTCATCTTACTTGATATAATGTTTCGAATTATTTGAATTATAGTACGAAATAAGAGTCCCAGAGATAACGCAATTGAATTAAGAAGTAAGACACAAGCACAAGCGAATGTATTGTGTTTGGAATTCGAAATCGTGCAATCAACAAGTACAAAAGTATCATTAGTTCGTTCAAACACCAAATCCGCCACAGCTTAAATTGGAGTCTAGGTGTTTGTAATCAATCGTACATCTGTAGTGGTATTGGACCATAACCACACAATCCACAAAGCTGTGAACACGAGACTACTCAGAAAATAGATATTCAATATTTAACTCGGGGAAATACCTAACAATGGAGAAGGCGCGGAGAATGAATTGAATGGACTAGAGTTGATCGAACGGCATGGCTCGGCCATGCAGGCGTGGTCCCTGCTGAATGTTATCTTATATCTTCTATTCATATTAAATATATTGTTCCTTCTCTAGCCTAACCTTGTTCTACATAATGTACTGGTAATTGATACGATACAGTGAGTTGATGTAGCCGATGGTGTGACTTCCACGTAAGATCTTATAGATTAGGCAGTTATATCATGACAAATCTAAAAATTTAGGATTAGGTCTATTATTAGAGCAGCACTAATATCATAGTAGACCATAATTCTACATTGGTGAGCCCAACTAAAGAAACGCAACCCATTATTGTTAATCCTTATTTCCACCTTAACCTCAATCGGATTTTATTTTTGTAAACCCACTATTCTAATAGTCCTTTGATTAATGGTCACATATATTATCGTAATGTTATATCTATTAGTTCACATAACTTACTAGCTCAATCGATAATAAAAGTTGATCATCTATATCAACTAATTAGCTTTGATGGTTCGTTAACAAGCTTTAATAGCATTTACATGCTTCAGCAACATACACTTGTTTAAACATCAAGCTCTAGTAAATATGACCTGTAAATAGCGTAAGTATACATTGACTAACAATGCAATCAAGGACTAAATAGTTATCTGGATCTAATTATCAGTGTTCCTTCACCTAACACCTCATCTTGTTTTAAACTATGCACTATCCCGTAATATCTTTTCTTTTGACCACTGCCTGCCTAATTTCATATTTTCGAGTTCCATTGCCAAACAACAAGGATGACACTTCTCCAAAAACATACGGTGAGTTTCCTCTATAGGTTTTCTGCAATCATAAGGTCATTTTAGATGGCTCGTTCAATAACAACCATACAATTAACTGAATTCATTCGATTGTTCTAATCCGAGCGAGTGGCAGAAACGTCAACACCATCAAGCACCCTGGAATTAATTGCCATACTGCATGTTTTATTCTGGATACTTTTGGATCATTACTACTTACGAATGGCGTTATATATGTCGTCCACTGAATAATCTAATTTTTAGAAATAATCCAGGCGAGTTCAACTATCTTACTTAATGATTTTTTGTACTGTACATATATATGTTTTTCAGTTGTTTTTGCCATATATTTGTAAGTGTCCCTAGGCTGAATGCAGTAACTTATGGAATGTTTATAACGCATCATATTCCTGCCTGAAGTTTCACAAGCAGTCTTAACTTTAAAATTATTTATCTGGTCATGTTCATTATTTTTAAATTGCCATATACGTCAACAACCTGCATGTTAACCTGGCCCGTACATACGTTTTACTATATCTTCATGTCTTTTGAATTTAGAAATCATCTGAATCGCCTTTAACATTTATCAATAAACCCATCATAGTCGTTGTTGCTAATCGTATTTGGGTTTATGGATTGGTTTATCATAGTAGCAGCCTAAAATGCAGACATAGTTTAGATAATTCGATTACAAATTTAAGTACTATCAACTGCACTAGTAAAATAACTAAATCCCCAGGTGGCTG